CAACGCCTGCTTAAAACCATCGTTTGGTGTTTAATAAAATATAATTCGAAAGAATCATAACCAGATTCGAGGGCGATTGCAAAATATCTATAAAAGACGAGTTTGACAATAGTAGTGGTGAAACTAAACCACAATCAAGGCCGCTATCCTCACGCTATCGCCCGTGGGGGGTGAACTGTCATACGGTTTATTAACCTACTAACATTCAATCCGGTCCAAAGACAATAGATTCAAACAAAAGGTTTTTAGATCACCCAGATATATTAGTGAATTTCACTTGAACTAATCGATCGATTTGTTCATAATTGTCATATGTCATATGTCATATTGTGACATGAATTTATGACGGTCATTTAGTTCAGACTTGTTCCTAAATAGTTACTTTCGAATGACGATCTTATTTTATTTCAGCCTTTCACCCACAAGGCGATATAAATCTCTGTTAAAAAAGGTAACGCATCTGGTAATACGTATATTTGTGGATAGCGTTCCCTAGTTCAAATTCAAGTGGCTGCATACTCGTTTGCCAACTTATAACATAATAAATTTAAACATTATTCCACTGTGAAGTTAGAAGAGATTCGAAGATATGTGTGAATCAACCCGTACTTCGCTAGCATTGCTATGGCGTAGTCGCTAACTTATGGTAGGCTCCGAGCCCCTCAGTGGGGACCTATAGTGAGCTGATGATGATAATGACGAGAGTTATTCCAGGCTAAATTCCTTGTTATACAGGATGCTTTATGGCCCAGTATGTAATGGTCTTTTGTGCGTAGTTTAGGTCTTACGGGTTGAGGTTAAGTATTTATAAGCCTGTTTATGTGGGTGGACATAACTGTGTGTGTAATTAAATTGAATACACCGCATTATAATCATTCCTTAACCTTCATTTGTTATGTGTATATATTTATAGATATACTAGCTGTTGTCCGCGATTCCGTCCGCGCGTAATTAAGTTTTTAATTAGTAGCCTATGTGTTCTTCCAGACTCCAACCATTCGCAATTATAATATTAGTAAGGTTCTATGTTAAGATTCTGATTTATTAATTTTGTACCAGGAATTTTCTGAATTTAGTTTCGTTTGTAATAGCTGTAAGTCAGTTTGGCAGTTAAGCGCTTGACGAAACCGGACTAAAATATAAAATATCCAGGTTCGAATCCCACCTCGATCGATGTGTTTTTTCGAATTTCAGGTGTACGTTTATCTGACGTTCTTACTGTAATTTATAGTTGCTACGTTTTATATTGTTTAATATGTAAATAGACAAACAAACAGACATGGTGCAGCGGCTTTATTTAAAATTACCTATATATTAAACTTTGCGAAATAAGATAAATATCAGAACAAATTTATTCCAAATTATTCATTCAACTTAATATGACACCGGTGTTAAGTTTTTTCACTTAATGTCACTCAAAGTGCAAAATATTAAATAAATCAATGCTATGACACAGTATCAGATCAAACCAAATCAACTCGTCCAATAATAATTATTTACATCGCACTAAAGTTACTAGATGTGTCAAGTTGAGTTAAGCAATTCTTGTTTAATTGCGACCGAATCTTACTAATATTATAAATGCGAATGTTTAGATGGATAGATGTTTGTTAGAAGTTTGTGATCAAGCAAAACACATATGTATTTTGTCTCATGCAATCTTAAGGTTGATATGAGTTTTGCCACTAATGTTAAAAATACAATGTCAATTTTAATTTATAGTAGATGTTATGTATTGGACTACCGTGAGTTTCTGAGTCTAAAATCTCCATTAAAAACATATTGATATCTCTGTTTTGTCAAAGATGAAAGACATATGTTTTATACAGATACTAGCGGACCCGACAGACGTTGTCCTGTCTACACGTCTTTAATTTGAATATTATTTAAAATTTGACACTGCGATGGTAGCGCCGTCTGTCGGATCCATTGTAAAACATTCCAAAATCAACAACTACTAATAAATTAAAAATTTATTAAAAAAAACATTGTCCAGCGGACAAAATTGTGAATCTAAACCATTCCCAGATCCCCTTGAACACACACAAAAAAATTCATCAAAATCGGTCCAGTCGTTTGAGAGAAGTTCAGTGACATACACACTCACAGAAGAATTATATATATAAAGATGTATACTAAGAAGAAGAAGTCTCAGAAGCCAACGGTAATTTGACTAGTTTACTATGATAAAATATTACATTCATATTAAGTGTATGAAATTAACAAACAAGCAACCTATTAAAATTATATTTAATAGCTATACCGAACTCTGTCCACGCGGGATTAAAAAAAATAGTAGCCGATGTGTCCTTACAGGCTATGTTGGGTCTACATCTATGTTAAATCCATTCAGCGTTCTGAAGATACCTTCTAACAAACATCCATCTAAACATTCGCATTTATAATATTAGTAAGATATGCCAAATACTACAATACAATTAATCTAAATTTATTATTCAATTTAAATATTTATCATACAATTTGTAATTCTTAAACATGCAAACGAAGGCTTACCAGTAACCGGACCACAGAGCAGATAGTTTCCATAATAAACACCCTCGTCACTTCCAGTAGACACAATAATATATTCTATAATTACGTTTCTATATAATTTTGATGTCGGTCAATATAACATTTGAAACTGGAACACATTCACTTTCTGCGTACATTTATTGTAAACACCAGATTAGATCCACGCCTTTGTTCGTATAACTGTGTTTTCACTGCGGAAACATCTGTACAAAACATACAACGAAGATAAAACGTCAATGGCTCAGGAGTTAAGCAGTTGACTTGTAATCTACAGGTCATAGGTTCGAAACCTGTCATGTACTTATGTGTTTTTTAATCTTCGATTTACATCTAAACATTTATCCGAGGATCTAAGAAGAAAATCAAAGATTTGTGTGAAGTCAACACGCACTGTGCCAGGTTGACTATGGCTTAGTCAATTTAGGTAGGCTCTGAGCACCTTAGTGGTGACGTATAGTGAACTGATGATGATACACCGAAGAGATGATTAAAACTAGAAAGTAATGAGATTGAATGTGGATAGCAAAGGTAAAGGAAGACCAAAGATTGTATGGATGGATTGTGTGAAAGAGGATATGCGTAAGAAGGGAGTGAATTCAAATTAAACAGCTGATAAAGATGTATGGAGAAGTAGTACTGTGCCGAACCTATGTATTAAAAAAGGGCAATGTTGATTAAGAAGGGAGTTTCTGTTTCAGCAGTGTAAACCCACGCTTATGACTTAAATATAACAGTTACATAACTGTATTACAATAATTAACCCTTTAATAAAGTTCATAGACACATCGACCTTTACTTTAAGCAATTTAAATAATGTTTAAACATGTCGCATACTTATGAAGTCATTTCAAAATTTAAAAAAAGTGCTCTATATAAAGGTCGTTATTACGAAAACTGGTAAAAACATAAAGAACATTAATAAGAGTTTAAAGTTGTAACAGGTCAAGGAATTAATTAACGTATTCATGCTTTGGTTAACAATGCTAAGTTATTAAGTTATTTGCAATCATAAAGTGGACGCTCCAGTTTGTTCACCCAGTTCGATCCATCTTCCGATTTCACTACTTTTGTTATAAACTACTAGCTGTTGCCCGCAACTACGTCCACGCGGAATAAAAAAAGAACTTAAATAGTAGCCTATGTGTTCTTCTCGACAGCCGTTCTGAAGACACCATGTAAAAAACATCCATCTATCCAAACAGTCGCATTTATAATATTAGTATAATAACATTGTTATCCAAAGTTTTCTTTTGTTTTCATTTAAAAATCGAATCATTAGCTTTATTTCTTGTAAGCCCCCAATCCAAAGAGCGCTTTTTCAACGCGGTAAAAAGTAAAAAAAACAAATGCAGTTTGAATTCATACGACAGCGCTTTTAAAACGCGACGCTTTTTTATCGCGCTACGACACTGAACGCTGGATGAAAACAAGATTTAAAGCGTTCATCATTCCAGTCGCCAACGCAGAGTTTTAACGCGTCAAAAAACCGCACGTGCGTATCATATAATCGAGATTTCGTAATTAACACTTTAGTCAAAATCTAAGTACGGTTGTTATTGCAAGCAATTGTTACAAGGCGTTATACTTTTAACAATATAAGTTATGCAAAAATAATGGCCACTGCGAAACTTGTTAAGTTATTATAATTAAGTTACAACATAAATAACGTCAGCATATCTAATTCAATTTTAAAGCCTTCATTTTTAATTGTTAACACATATAAGTACGCATAACATTATTGTATAGAAGCGGTTATCGGTCTCCACTGAGGGTCTTGCAGCCTGTCCTAAGTTAGGGGTGACTAGGCCATAGTCAATGCTGTCCCAGTACAGATTGTCTTTAGGGGGCATCCATAAATTAATTGAGGTGTTTAAGGGGGGGAGGGGGTCGAGTCAAATCTCACGATTTTTTTTCTGATGGAAACAAAAAAAACAAAAGCTCGAAGCTATTTTTTTTTCTTTTTACAATAAACAATCCAACGTGTTTACGTAAGAAACTCATATTTTGAAAAATCTCACGCGAGATTGGAGGATATGGGGAGGGGGTTAAATAAAATCTCACGACATCTCACCACGGGGAGGGGGAGGGGCAGATAATAAAAAAAACCCTCACGTAATTTATGGACGCGCCCTTACACATATCTTGGATTTTTTCGTATATGTGCAGGTTGCATCACGATGTTTTCCTTCACCATAAGAACGTTGGAATTAGATAAGTCTGACTCCCGTGCATATAAGCTACATACTTTCCAGTCCAGTTCCAGCCCCGTCAAAATCTGTCCAGCTTCGTTTACTAGGAACAATCGTAGACTTACGGACGGACAGACAGGACCATAAACATTTAAAAAATTGGAAATATGACTTTTTTAAATATTAAATATTACACACAGATATTCTAATTTTATTAATTTATAGAATAAAAGTTGAATTTTATTTTTCTTGTTAAGTAATAACTTATTTTTGTTACAGATCGCGTCCCTAACGAATAAGGTATGTTTTCACTGATTTATTTTAAACGATATAATTTTTATTTAATTTTAATGACCCTTGATTACACTGTATGTATAATAATTTCAAAGCAAATAGAGCAGACACTGCGTAGTTACTAATTGGGAAATATGAAGAAACAATTCGCTGTCTTAACTTGTTTTATATTGCCATCCTTTACGCTCTCTTTCAAAAAAACAGAGATAGCGATTAATTGTCACGCCATTTGAAAATTACAAGTTGCAAAACATGAATTTATAGTATTATACTTAAAGATATTTAACAATTTTTAAGGCTACGTGCATACAAACTTTGCAACCAACCCTGTTTTTGCATACATTACCATTTCATAAATAAGGGTGCGAACACACTAAAAGTGAGGATTTTCTTTGAGTAGAGTTTTGAGTGAACGATCTATGTAGAACACTCTCCCTCTCACCTCTCAGAGTGATTAAGTGTGCACTAAGGAAGGCCTTTACTGTCGATTTGTACGAGAAATCCTCTCATTCATATTAAGACTTGGTTTGCATTAAAAAGTCTTTTAAGTTGGCAATATCTTATACGTTAAAATTGAAAGAGATTTGCTTTTTTGATTCAGATTTGAAAGGGTTTATATTAAAAGAGCAATGCTTGAAATTTGTCCTAAGGTCATAGTATTTTTTTATTTTATAAATTTTGATAGAAGATTAGTTTAAATCCTCAGTCCTCTGATCCTTTTACCCCGACAATGACAAGCGTGAAGAGACGAGCGTGTGTGAAATTAATCATAGTGAACCGAATGTCACGGCGATTGGAAACGCTGCGTTCGCAACCGATTCGAATCCAGACGTGCCCGGGCAAGCATTTAACTCCGTTTCCACTAAGCTATTAAAATCATCGTTTGTTGTGCGCTTAAAATTTTGGATTAAGCTGTCGACGTAGGTGTTTCCATCCAGTTAGTACATGCTTTTAAAAAAAGTGTCAATTGGCACTTGCAAATCATAACTTCGTTTAACATCAGGCTTGTTCCTGAATTTGCGTTAATTTATTCGTTTTAATAAAATCGATTGTCTTTTGTTTCTGACCCAAGGCTACGGTTAAAAACGCAACTTGTATAATAGAAGTTGTAATCCGCCAGAGTCGCGTCGCTAATCGAGTTAGTGAAAATAGGTTTTAAGCCTCGCTGGTATTAGTGTAACCAATTGTTAAATCATGCTGCCTATTTTATTATTTCGTATAACATTTCTGAGATATAGACGGTATTAGGATTAACTTTAATATATTTCTAAGATATGGTAGGTGACGATCTAAATTTTGTCTCACGTTCACGGGATGCCGATTTAGCGGCTAAGTAAGACGGGTAGGGGAAATATCTTCTCTCTGCGCGTTCCCTCCTCTGTTTATTACAGGTGGGCAACGCATCTGCAATTGTAGCTGTCTATGACCAGCAGTTGCTTCACTATTTCAGCGAATTCCAGTGGCCGGTTTTTCGTTTCACACCTTGTAATCTTACTAATATTATAAATGCGAATGTTTAGATGGATGTATGGACCTCACTGATGTTTGGCATAGACGTAGAACATAGTCTAGAAGAAAACATAGGCTACTAATTAACATTTATTTGCGCACGGACGGAGTCACGGGCGACAGCTAGTTACTTATAATACTGTGTAGGCATAATTCATCGAACACAAATATAATTAATAGACGTATTATGTATTCTATGATGAGAAATATTATTGTAATTCCATTGCGTGTATTATAAGGTTGTAAAATTGTGTTACATCTTACAACACCATCATTCTATAAGACACAAGTCAATCATCTCGGATTTATTGCAATCGTTTATTGAAATTTGCTTACAATACGCATCTATTAAATTATAATTCATATACGATTTCTAATATATGCCTTAGACTAAAATTGACTTTATTACGTTGTGTCAAGGTTCATATTTGCGTTTTATGAACTTTTATAAATACCATAGTGCATATCGGCACGAGAGAAGTTTTATAGTCTATGCAAATATTATTTTAAATGAAAGTTGGTTCTATTATATTCGGAACTAGATAAGCGCCGCGATATATACTATTTTTCCGCGCTGACAAAGTCACATGCAAACGGTAGTATGTTTTAAAAGCCTAATGCGCGCGTCCATTGTACCGATCCGGACGCACCACACGCACGGCCTGCAGCGGATTTTAGTTTCCTTTGTATGACTTTAGGTAGCGCTGCGTCAATCCGCGTAAGCAACAAGACAAAGCAAATCCGTTCAATCCGTGGTTGCGTCCGGCGCGGGCCAATGGACGCGTACCTTTAATCATCAGTTGTTTGGACTGCTTATGTTCATGCAATTGCTGAGCTGGCTCTTTTTGCCACACTTTTGTTATAAAATGTGTTTAATTTCATTTGAATTGTGTTCCATATAACCTATTACATAACCACCTGCACTGAATATTACGTCTGTCATTCTTATACAACAAAGGTGTTGAATATTCCTTGGCGCAGACGCTTAACGCAATCTTAATCGTGTTACTGGTAGTATACACATTTATGTCATTCTATAAAACGTCTAGTGGCGTTGTATCTGGCACGCGAGATTCGACTGCATATGACAGATACGAAAAGAGAGAAAGGTGTAACACTCGATACGGACGACTTGACAGTAAGACGGACGTATGAAAAATTATCTGGCAGGCGAGATTCGACTGCGCATGACAGATACCGTCTAATATCAAAGTTACACAAATAGACACTGTATTTGTGTTATTTTTTATGTGATTATAAAATTTAAATGTCGTTTTATTAGTTCTTAAAATAAATGTGAAGATTTTATTGAACTATGTTATCGTAATATTTCATACATATCGTTGTCCCTTTCATTCTCTTTGAGAAAAAAAGAGACAAGTGTCGCATTAGAATTGTAAAAGATAGATTTTGTTTATCACAATATGTTAATTAAATTCGAATCCCTGACATATTGCTAATTTAATATCTATAAATAAATTAATAAACAATTCTATATGACCATTATTAATTTCACGCGTATATTTAATTAAAAAGTCAAACAACGGTGTAAATCATAATTCTTGCGACATCTTTGATGCATATTTTAAAAGTCAATCAAAATAATAACCGTCAACTATAGTCATATTTGAATGTAAATTTTTACTAAAACCTTAACCTACTTTGAGAAGAAATACAATTTTATTTAGTGACATTTGACACCTAAGTATTGTATAGCAATATCAAGTACATGAAGATGGTAAAAAAATACATTGTTATTGTTACATTTGAATACTTATCCACCAGCTGTCCCCCGCGACTTTGTCTGCGCAATTAAAAAAAAAACTTAATTAGCAGCCTATGTGTTCTTCCAGACTATATTCTATATGTATGTCAAATTTCATCGAGATCCGTTCAGCCGTTCCGAAGATTCCTTCAAATTTTCGCATTTATAATATTAGTAACATATCAAGTTTTTAGTAGATTTGGGGTCGATTTTTTATATTATTTAGTTTTATTTTTAGTTTGGTTTAGTTTTAGTATATAGTTTATTTAATACAGTATTAATTAATTCATTTATTTTGTAGTGGTTAGTTATTTAGTAAGATTATATTTTAACTAGTAGTACAATTTTTTTTTATGTAAACATTTTTTAATTTTTGCGGGCAAGATTATGAATGTCTTATTTTTCACAATAACCGTAACATAACATTTAGTCGCGGCACAATTATTTGTAATACAATTGTCTTTATTCAGGAGAAAGGGCGCACGTTGCCACAGGGAAAGTCGAGCGCGGTACTAATTTAGTCATGAAGATAAAAGTGTTTTACTTTGTATGGAATAGATTGTAAAATGACAGAAGGACAATGTCATTAGAAATTTTGAAAGCGTGACATTGTAGAACAAAAGTTTGTGTGCATATTAAAAGATACATGTAATCCAAAAAACTCTTCAAACAATCATTCGTGTTTTGTTTAAAAATACTATCTTTTGGTAAAATGAAAAATTACTCATTTATTACTCATAAGTAAGCTATTTAAAAAAATATATGATTTTATTATCAAACAGGAATGTTTAAATTAAAAAAAAACAACAAAATTATTGGTCCTTGTACCTTTAAATCTAATTTTAAGACATTTAAAAGAAGTTGTTACAATCTTAGTAATATTATAAATGTTAATATTGGTCAGAATGACCGCATTGATCTTGCTGAAAGGCATAGATGTAGAACATAATCTGGAAGAACACAGGCTACTAATTAAGTTTTTTTAATCCCGCGCGGACTGGCACGGGCGATAGCTAGAAATGTATAATTTATGTCATAAACTGATATATAAACACGGCTAACCACGCTCACTGAGCGACGGGCCGCGTCCGCGAAATAATACCAGTACCACTCATCCTGATGAAGGGCCCCCGATGGGCTCGAAACTAGTCGGTGCCGCCACCGGACGTATATACGTGAGTGTTTAGCCATGTTTATATATCAGTTTAGTATAATGTCTCACGAAAGTTTGAATAATTTAATTTATGTCATTGTCAATAATGTATAGAGTAGTCATTCTCGTATTAATTATTTGTGATCTTAACGATAAATGTCACACAACCATGTCATTGACCTCTAGAATTAATTGATTCCAACAAAAAAATACCTTGTCGGAATTTTTATTGAAGCACATGTGATTCGTAAAAAGTTTTTTTTTTAATTACCGCTTAATCTCTATATCTATGTACATGGTAGCGATTGACAGGTTATTAGACAGCCGATTAATATTGTACTAATATATACAGGATGATGTTATGCAAAATCTACATATTATAAACATAGTGACAAAATTCATATAAAGTTTTTGTTTCACGTAATCTTACTTCTTATCTTCTTACTAATATTATAAATGCGAATGTTTAGATGGATGTTTGTTTGAAGTTATCTCTAAAACGGCTGAACTGATCTTGATGAAATTTCGCATAATTATAGTACAAGTCTGGAAGAACATGTTTATGTTATGCTAATTATG